TAAGCAGGCCAATGCAGCAAGCATCTGTCCTTAGAGGGCATGATACTGACTGAAAATACCACTGAAGTACTGGAGATAATGACAGTGGAAACAAACAGGCTATGTCTATTTTGACAAAAGGTCATCTTTGTTCCAGCTGTTAGCAGATAATCGGAAAATCCTATGGTTTGAAGAAAGGTTGTCGGACAAAGGATGTTAGGCTGGCTCTAGCAGATATTCTAACAGGGCAAGATGGCAGCAAGCAAGCTTACACAGGAATTTTGCCAGCAGCTGATACTCTACTCAGATGCTCAATGCTCTGGAATGTAAGTGATTGCGCAAATTTGGATCCAGTTGTAGCGTAATCCTGAATTATAATGCCATCCCTGTGACCAAGAGCTGTGCAGGTATGTTATGTTGACAATGTGCAGTGATGACAGCCATCTAAATGTTAATGTGTACAACAATCCATCCCAATCCCTGGCTGGTTCTTTGCTATATCGGGGTTTTGAATTGTAGTACATTTTACTTGGGATTCAGATTAATAGTTTTTGGCAATTCAAATAAGTTCATTTAATTACATATTCAGGTGAATTAGTTTTAGGCATAAGTACTTCAGTTGTGAAATGAGTGTTGGGGACACTCCCATTCAGTGCAATTCTAGGTGGGCTCCAAAGACAGTTGGCCAATGTTAGGGCCTACCATGGTCAGTGAGCAAGGCTGGCAGGACACAGAGGAGGGAACTTCATCATCTGACTGACTCCACTTTTTGGGGATATTATACAGAACAGAACTATCAGGCACAATGCCTGTGATGTTGAGCGAGGGAGTCCATCCTTTGCACCCGGCCAGCCAGACTACACAAGAATCTGTGTTAAGCATGCATTAAGCAATAATCACACACACTAGGTTGGTTTCAGAATATATTTGTAATTTTAGTATTTATTTCAATCTGGCGAGAGTGTTTGACACGTACATAGAGCTATGCAGACAGATACTAGAGAAGCCAAGTTTTGGTACAATGTAGCGAGCAGGGTGCTACTGAAGAGTAGCAAGAAGCAAGGTAGCAGAACTAGTGGAAGGTAGGTAGTATCGATGAGCGAACAAACATACTCCTGCTTGTGACCCTGGTACAATCTGTGCAGAGATGTACCTCCATACCTGTACGGAGAGAGAGTTATGTCAGTAAGTCCATCCCCTTCAGAACCTAGGTAGCAAGCACACATACCAAGCAGTGTCAAACTACTATCTTTCAAGATGATATTTCTGTTTTAGTTGCTCTGCAAAGGCGCTTCATTCAAATTAGCTGATCCGGGCGAACTGTTTGACAGTTCTTGGCAAACTAGCTCACACAAAGCTTACAAGCATTGGTGAAGGAACATTTCCGCTGGAGGCCAAACAGATCCAAAATACCTTGAAAGTCGAACATTTTATGTCCTTGCGTCACTGGCATCCAAAAAAATAAACAAGTTCATTGTTAATAACAATTATTTAACAGAGTGGCCCTGTGTGTTTTACACCCAGAGCCCTTGTATTCAATAGGAATTCAAACAACAGAGAAATAACAAAAAGAAAGTCTACAATGTACATATGATATCATGTGTCTCCACGGTGATGATGAGACAATCAGACAACAGTACATGGGTACAAACAGTGGAACAAGCTCCCCGCCACTCACAGACTCCAGAACATGAAGAACTGTACACCATCTTGTCAAATGTGGTATTCACTCCAGTTTCATCACATAACCTTTGCTTTAACCACTTTGACAAGAAAAAGAGCACCACGATTTATTGGAATCCATACATGTACATCTAAATCATTTGAATAATGTCAAAATGGGACCACATTAAATATTTCGCTGGATCGTGGATCGGTGGAGTGCCCTCAGAGGGCCGTGGAGATGAATGACAGAACACTCGGCACACGATGTTGTTATATCACCATGGCAACACTGTATTTCATGACTTTTCTTATCTCAAAACTTAGTGTTGCCACAGCAACATATGGTTAGCTACTACAATGATGAACCGTACCCATGGAATTACATACATAGTAAAACTACAATGAACTGTATCCATGGTGATACGTACAGTACAACTACAATGATGATTGTATCCATGGTGATACATACAGAAAAACTACAATGAATTGTATCCATGTGATACATACAGATTACAACTACAATGATTTGTATCCATAGTGATACGATTGGGTACAACTACAAAATACATATGGTATCACAAATACTAGTATAACTGTTGGTACATTAGGATATTTTACCTATATGACACTGGATATCTAAAACTCAACACTGAAATACACTGCTCATAAAATGTCAGATGAAAATCAAAAAATATCAATTTCTGTACCCCTGGAAAGACATACCGTATATTACCGTCTATAAGCCGAATTTTGAGGACCATCAAAATATGTCTGTATAAGGAGGTCGTCTTATCTATGAGATACAATTTCACGGAAATACTTTTTAGCTCGCTAGTGCCCTGCCAGGACGATGTTACAGGTTACCGGTACATCTGCCAGGATGTTTGCCACGATTACAGCGTTTATGTTGTGAACGATGAATAAAATACATATTAACCTGTACGTTTTCATTATTTCAACATATTATTACATATTAGTCATTGTTGACATGTTATCGTCTAACTACAATATGTATGATATTTATCCCTTTTCTGTCAACTACACTTCATATCGATGCATGAGTAGACGCAATATGATTGTGAATATTTTTAATAATGTGGACGAAAGTTATAATTATTGGTAACAGCCAGTTGTCTGTGTTTGACGTGATTAGGACCCCATCGCAGAGGGGGGGGAGCGGCTTATGCACGAAACATACCATTTTGACACTGATTTTAAGGGTCAAGTTTGGGGGTCGGCTTATCTATGGGGTTGCCTTATAGACGGTAATATACGGTACTCTCCAAAATTAAAACATTTTAACTGTGTGTCCCTTTAAAAACTAATAACATAAAATTCACAAAACTACACACTCAGGTTTTAAAAATCTGGCTTTTGGATAGAAACAGAAAAAGACAAAAAAGTTTAATTGGAACTGCTGGAATCCGTTCCAAGCTGTAACACAGTGAGCCATGCCAGTCTCTTGGAGACTTGTGGCACATCACGTGGTCAGGGCACAGCAGCAGCAGCAGCAGCAGCCAACATTTCATGTTTAGTATTTCTCACAGAAACAAAGAGAATAATTTTTTTCTATAAAAAAACAACAACTTTTGAAGTTGATATGTATGTAATGTCCCTCCAAAAAGATCACCGTGTGAACACTGTTGCTAGAAATATGTACAAACTTTATCACCTCAGGTATATAAGGACACATGGAAGAGGTCATGACCTTCACTCATGTAAAAGTCATGGCCTTCACCTTCCAGACATCTTTGGAAAGTTCAATGGCATTGTACGTATACAGTTTACTGTAAACCATTTCATTTTCATACAGTTATAACTTAACAAAACCTAAATGTATTGTCTTGACATGAATCTATGCCACTATGTGCATATGGATCTGTACTTACTCAGGTTATAGGAAATATCCAAATGTTGGGCAGTTTTGTCTTGCAATAAATGTATGAAAATCAATCATGTACGCAAATCACATGGCTTACAGTAGTAAATTTGGTTTTGTTTTTGAAATATGTATTACAAAAAACAAACGACACTCAATAACAATTCTAAAAAATGTGATTATATTAGATACTTTAAGAGCACCCAGCACTAGTTCATTAATAAGGTGTGCTCTAACAGCATCTAACACTATACATGCACCTTTCTTAAGTTGACAGGGTTCTGGAAATGTAAATAACATACTACTATACCATCGTCATTGTGACGACAAACCAATAAACTACCACCAAGATATAGAACCAGTAACAGTAGGAGGAACGAAGTCCTTCCAATCACCTGGCTTGAACACAACAGTCCAAACCAGTGGATGCCAACCCTTAAGAGGGGCAGTCCAGTCTTATGGCACATGGAGACATTCAAATGACACAATTCTAAAATCTTGTCAATATGTAGGTAGGTGTACACCACCAGTTTACTAGAACCCAGCACAACACAAGTAAAACATTTTACATCACAATTTGCACTTAAAATCTAGTATCAAATTTTGTGTGAGCAGTACATTGAAGCAAGGTTTTCTTTTGATTGGTTTGCAACCTGTACCTGAAGGTGGGCATTGAGACTCAAGGAGAGAAACGAGACATCTAAAACAAAAAACTCTTAGAACTGAAAACCAGGTCTGAGAGATGCACCAGAGGTGTCTCCTTGGATCCCAGTGCTGGCCGACAGGCTGGACGCATCACCACCCTCCATCTACACAGCCTACACATCACTGCAGATTTGCCATTCATTTTGATTGAAATTCAACTTTGAATTATATGAACTTTTGGAAGGGTAAATCTTGATGATAACCTACAAGTGCTGTCCCTGTGATGCATCTAGCAAGTGCTGACCTACAGACACAGGTGCCAGCCTTAAGGTGTGGCCTGGATCAGGGTGTAATATTACCAGCAGGCAAGGGATGGTAAAGCTTGCCAGAAAGTCATCTACTTTAGCCTTCATAAGCAAAATATTTAAAAGACAGTATAAAGCAAGCTTTGATCATATAATTTCTCAGAAAGCTTTGTGCATCTGCGAACAAAGTTTTGATAAATATTTTCAAAAGCCATCTTCACACAACAATTGTGACAATGAAAAATTAATAAAATATCCTTGAACTAAAATTCAATAGTTAAACAAAAAATATTTCTAAAGTTTAGTGCTCATAAAATAAGTAGAGCATAACAACAATGGTTTTGAATGAAGAAAATCTGTGCTTTTCCATGTCTGACCACAACTGGACATAAGCTGGCTATCCTGTTTGGCCCGATCCAGGAGGATACAACACAGCATGGACATTGATCAGACCAACTGACTGGGCTGAAACACTAAGTAGAGACCATCATGCTTGAGACATTTTGCCCTTCTCATTTAAGTCCGAGCTAGCCCCTGGGTCAGACAGGCAGACCTATGAGGCTGGCAGAATTACGGGAATATGGTAATACTTGCACAGAGGGCGCTGGCACTTGCCGCGCACAGAATCGCGACAAACTGTCACATGGCCATCCATCACTTCAACGTATTCTGAAAAAAAAGTGAGAGCAGTGTTGTAAGAGTGCTACGTAGCTTTCAAACATACTTCCATAAATGCATTTTGCTTATAGTCTACATAAATTAAACATATACAAGACATGCTAGAATTTTGTCCCTTTGACTTACCCTCTAGAAGATGCACATACTTGCATTGCGGCCGGTCACACTGGCCGGACTTAAAATCTCGGCACACTGGGAGGGTGTCCCGCAACTGAAAGTGAAGAATAGGTGACATTGAGGACATATGCACCCATCTAGAGGGCCAGCACTCATATATCCTACACAGGAGGAATACATCTACTACCATCTCAATCAGCATAATTAGATTTAACAATAATTTACTGAACAGTATAAATTATACATCTGTTTAGATTTCATATCATTTACACATTTAAATAACGGCTAGGGGAAAAGCTAATGACAGAATCAAAGAGAACCAGTCTTCATGCATTAACAACATTTATCAGTGTTTGTATTTGCACAATGCAGAGGCTAAAGTGCCATGTGTGAGAATGGTGCCATGCTTTGTGGTGTGTATGGCCTGTATTGTACATTATGGAAGGATTCAGGCTGTTATAGTCATGTTACACCTTGTGACTTATCTAGTGTCAAGTAATGACAGAAAAGAATTCACCTTGACCCAAATACCATTATTAGTCAAGACTACATGTTATATATATATATATGAGAACAATATAATCATATTCTTTGTGTCTTTGTCAAATGTTCTGTACACAAGCATTTTGTTGAGATAAGCAAATTGGTGCTGCATGTCTGCTGGTAGATGGAAGCAGTGAGCTAGCTCTGCGAGGAACAGGATGCAAGAGCGGACTCACGTGTTACATCTGCTACTTGTTGTGATGTCAAATGCCCTGAATTTGGAACAAAGATTAAATGAATGTTCTCTTGTCAACTGAGAAAAGTCCTCCTACTATGAGCGATATGAAGCAACATAATGCAGCCGGGCACACTGACAAGCTCGGAGAGTTCGGGGCAAGCAGAGTGTCAGATTCCCTATGATACACAGGGGGAGACAGATGGACGGACACATCTTCAGTAAGGATGTAGATGGCTTGTTATTTTCCAACATAGTTGTCTAAATCTTGCATCAATGTACTTCTGCTTTGACAAAGGAACTGTTACTGTTCACAATAGCTAAATGATAGCTAAATAGCATGTGTGCATTAGTAGGATGGTGCATCACAACGATTGAGTATGTGTTAGTTTGTTAGTTTTGTACAGCTACCAAGGGGTTAGTCTAGCTGAGATAGCAGGATGTCTGCTGGATTGACAGTCGACAGCTACAGTTGGTGTTGGCAGAGTCCTTCTGTGCAGCTGTGCTGCAGCTGTGTGCATGTTGGTCCTGCTAAGATAGGCACTGTTGTGAGACAGCTGTGTGATGGTCCTACTGAGACAGCTGTGTGTGTGTTGGTCCTGCTGAGACAGCTGTGTGTGTGTGTTGGTCCTACTGAGACAGCAGTGTGTGTGTGTTGGTCCTACTAGCAGTGTGTGTGTTGGTCTACTGCTGTGTGTGTGTTGGTCCACTGTGACAGCTGTGTGTGTGTTGGTCCTACTGAGACAGCAGTGTGTGTGTTGGTCCTACTGAGACAGCTGCATGTGCATGTTGGTCCTGCTAAGATGAGACAGCTGTGTGTATGTGTGTGTGTGTCTTGGTCCTTCTGAGACAGCTGTGTGTGTGTTGGTCCTACTGAGACAGCAGTGTGTGTGTTGGTCCTACTGAGACAGCTGCATGTGCATGTTGGTCCTGCTAAGATAGCTGTGTGTGTGTGTTGGTCCTATTGAGACAGCTGTGTGTGTGTTGGTCCTACTGAGACAGCTGTGTGTTGGTCCTACTGAGACATCTGTGTGTGTCTGTGTTGGTCCTTCTGAGACAGCTGTGTGTGTATGTTGGTCCTGCTGAGACAGCATTGTGTCTTGGTCCTACTGAGACAGCTGTGTGTGTGTTGGTCCTACTGAGACAGCTGTGTGTTGGTCCTACTGAAACATCTGTGTGTGTCTGTGTTGGTCCTTCTGAGAAAGCTGTGTGTGTATGTTGGTCCTACTGAGACAGCTGTGTGTGTATGTTGGTCCCAAAGAGACAGCTGTGAGTGTGTGTTGGTCCTACTGAGACAGCTGTGTGTGTATGTTGGTCCTACTGAGACAGCTGTGAGTGTGTGTTGGTCCTACTGAAACAGCTGTGTGTGTATGTTGGTCCTACTGAGACAGCTGTGTGTCTGTTGGTCCTACTGAGACAGCTGTGTGTGTATGTTGGTCCTACTGAGACAGCTGTGTGTCTTGGTCCTACTGAGACATCTGTGTGTGTGTTAATCCTGCTGAACCATGTGTGTGTTTGTCCTGCTGAGACAGCCGTGTGTCTTGGTCCTACTGAGACATCTGTGTGTGTGTTAATCCTGCTGAACCATGTGTGTGTTTGTCCTACTGAAACAGCCGTGTGTCTTGGTCCTACTGAGACATCTGTGTGTGTGTTGGTCCTGCTGAGACATCTGTGACAGCTGTGTGTGTTGGTCCTAATGAGACAGCTGTGTGTGTATGTTGGTCCTGCTACGACATCTGTGTGTTGGTTCTACTGAGACATCTGTGTGTGTGTTGGTCCTGCTGAGACATCTGTGACAGCTGTGTGTATTGGTCCTACTGAGACAGCTGTGTGTGTATGTCGGTCCTGTTCAGACATCTGTGTGTGTTGGTCCTACTGAGACATCTGTGTGTGTGTGTTGGTCCTTCTCAGACATCTGTGTGTGTTGGTCCTACTGAGACAGCAGTGTGTCTTGGTCCTACTGAGACAGCTGTGTGTGTATTATGGTCCTACTGAGACAGCTGTGTATGTTGGTCCTACTGAGACAGCTGTGTGTGCATGTTGGTCCTAAAGAGACAGCTGTGTCTGTGTGTTGGTCCTACTGAGACAGCTGTGAGTGTGTGTTGGTCCTACTGAGACAGCTGTGTGTGTATGTTGGTCCTACTGAGACAGCTGTGTGTGTATGTTGGTCCTACTGAGACAGCTGTGTGTCTTGGTCCTACTGAGACATCTGTGTGTGTTGGTCCTACAGAGAAAGCTGTGTGTGTATGTTGGTCCTGCTAAGACATCTGTGTATGTTGGTCCTACAGAGAAAGCTGTGTGTGTATGTTGGTCCTGCTAAGACATCTGTGTGTGTTGGTCCTACTGAGACATCTGTGTGTCTTGGTCCTACTGAGACAGCTGTGTGTGTTGGTCCTACTGAGACATCTGTGTGTGTATGTTGGTCCTTCTAAGACATCTGTGTGTGTTGGTCCTACTGAGACAGCTGTGTGTGTTGGTCCTACTGAGACAGCTGCATGTGTATATTGGTCCTGCTAAGATAGCTGTGTTTGTATTTTGGTCCTGCTGAGACATCTGTGTGTGTGTGTGTTGGTCCTACTGAGACAGCTGTGTGTGTGTTGATCCTACTGAGACAACTGTGTGTTGGTCTTACTGAGACATCTGTGTGTGTGTGTTGGTCCTACTGAGACAGCTGTGTGTAGATCCTACTGATACAGCTGTGTGTTGGTCCTACTGAGACATCTGTTTGTGTGTGTTGGTCATACTGAGACAGCTGTGTGTTGATCCTACTGAGACAGCTGTGTGTTGGTCATACTGAGACAGCTGTGTGTTGGTCCTACTGAGACAGCTGTGTGTGTTGATCCTACTGAGACAGCTGTGTGTTGGTCCTACTGAGACATCTGTGTGTGTCTGTGTTGGTCCTTCTGAGACAGCTGTGAGTGTGTGTTGGTCCTACTGAGACAGCTGTGTGTGTATGTTGGTCCTACTGAGACAGCTGTGTGTCTTGGTCCTACTGAGACATCTGTGTGTCTTGGTCCTACTGAGACAGCTGTGTGTGTATGTTGGTCCTACTGAGACAGCTGTGTATGTTGGTCCTACTGAGACAGCTGTGTGTGTATGTTGGTCCTGCTGAGACATCTGTGTGTGTGTTGGTCAACTGAGACAGCTGTGTATGTTGATCCTACTGAGACAGCTGTGTGTTGGTCCTACTAAGACAGCTGTGTGTGTGTTGGTCCTACTGAGACAGCTGTGAGTGTGTGTTGGTCCTACTGAGACAGCTGTGTGTGTATGTTGGTCTTACTGAGACAGCTGTGTGTGTTGGTCCTACTGAGACATCTGTGTGTGTCTTGGTCTTACTGAGACATCTGTGTGTGTCTTGGTCCTGCTGAACCATCTTTGTGTTGGTCCTACTGAGACAGCTGTGTGTGTATGTTGGTCCTGCTAAGACATCTATGTGTGTTGGTCCTACTGAGACATCTCCGTGTGTGTTGGTCATTCCCAGACATCTGTGTGTCTTGGTCCTACTGAGACAGCTGCATGTGTATGTTGGTCCTTCTAAGACAGCTGTGTGTGTAATTTGGTCCTACTGAGACAGCTGTGTGTGTATGTTGGTCCTACTGAGACAGCTGTGTATGTTGGTTCTACTGAGACATATGTGTGTGTTGGTCCTGCTGAGACATATGTGTGTGTGTGTTGGTCCTGCTGAGACAGCTGTGTGTGTTGGTCCTACTGAGACAGCTGTGTGTGTGTTGGTCCTACTGAGACAGCTGTGTGTGTATGTTGGTCCTACTGAGACAGCTGTGTGTGTGTGTTGGTCTTACTGAGACAGCTGTGTGTGTGTTGGTCCTACTGAGTTGAGTTGAGTTGGGTTTTGCGTCACATCGGCATTATTCCAGCCATATAGTGACGAGAACAAGTTTGCATTAATAAACATTTTAAGTACATACTCGGAATGAGTTTTATTTCAAAAACATATACAGCTGTGTATGTGCATTGGTCCTACTGAGACAGCTGTGTGTGTGTAGTCTAGTTTAACACAGCTGTGAGTGTTAATCCTGCTGAACCATGTGTGTGTTTGTCCTACTGAGACAGCCGTGTGTCTTGGTCTTACTGAGACATCTGTGTGTGTGTTGGTCCTGCTGAGACATCTTTGTGTTGGTCCTACTGAGACAGCTGTGTGTGTATGTTGGTCCTGCTAAGACATCTATGTGTGTTGGTCCTACTGAGACATCTGCGTGTGTGTTGGTCATTCCCAGACATCTGTGTGTCTTGGTCCTACTGAGACAGCTGCATGTGTATGTTGGTCCTTCTAAGATAGCTGTGTGTGTATTTTGGTCCTACTGAGACAGCTGTGTGTGTATGTTGGTCCTACTGAGACAGCTGTGTATGTTGGTTCTACTGAGACAGCTGTGTATGTTGGTTCTACTGAGACAGCTGTGAGACATATGTGTGTGTTGGTCCTGCTGAGACATATGTGTGTGTGTGTGTGGTCCTGCTGAGACAGCTGTGTGAGTGTGTTGGTCCTACTGAGACAGCTGTGTGTGTGTTGGTCCTACTGAGTTGAGTTGAGTTGGGTTTTGCGTCACATCGGCATTATTCCAGCCATATAGTGACGAGAACAAGTTTGCATTAATAAACATTTTAAGTACATACTCGGAATGAGTTTTATTTCAAAAACATATACAGCTGTGTGTGCATTTACTGAGACAGCTGTGTGTGTGTTGGTCCTACTGAGACAGCTGTGTGTGTGTTGGTCCTACTGAGACAGCTGTGTGCGTATGTTGGTCCTACTGAGACAGCTGTGTGTGTATGTTGGTCCTACTGAGACAGCTGTGTGTGTATGTTGGTGAGACAGCTGTGTGTTGGTCCTACTGAGACAGCTGTGTGTGTATGTTGGTCCCTACTGAGACAGCTGTGTGTGTGTATGTTGGTCCTACTGAGAGACATGTGTGTGTGTTGGTCCTACTGAGACAGCTGTGTGTGTGTGTTGGTCCTACTGAGACAGCTGTGTGTGTGTTGGTCCCTACTGAGACAGCTGTGTGTGTGTTGGTCCTACTGAGACAGCTGTGTGTGTTGGTCCCTACTGAGACAGCTGTGTGTGTATGTTGGTCCTACTGAGACAGCTGTGAGTGTGTGTTGGTGTATGTTGGTCCCTACTGAGACAGTGTGTTGGTGTGTTGTTGGTCCCTACTGAGACAGCTGTGTGTGTGTTGGTCCTACTGAGAGTTGAGTTGAGTTGAGTGTTAATCCTTTGTGTCTTGGTCTTACACATCTGAGCATTATTCCTGAGACCTGTGTGCGATATGTTATAGTGACGAGAACAAGTTTGCATTAATAAACATTTTTAAGTGGCGAGAACAAGTTTGCATTAATAAACATTTTAAGTACATACTCGGAATGAGTTTTATTTCAAAAACATATACAGCTGTGTATGTGCATTGGTCCTACTGAGACAGCTGTGTGTGTGTAGTCTAGTTTAACACAGCTGTGAGTGTGTTTGTGTATCTTACACTTGAAAGCTTAATGCTATTCATGACAGGGTGAATGTCACAGATCTGGCACATTCCAGATAAGATTCTTCATGTTAGAACTGCTTGAAGTTTTAAGAACACTTTGATAGGTAATTATCTTAGACTAGTGCTAAATACAGATTTTCTGTGTACCTATGTTGTCAGTGCTGACAGCTGATGTCCCTGACACCTCTCTTCACTGTGACAAGACCTAACCCATGTCACAAGAAAAATACTCCTGTTTGTTTGTGTTGGAAACTGGTTGCAAATCTAAAGAGTTCAAACCATTACACAATTTCAGTTTTCACAATCAGCATAATGTTTCCTCTTTACATTATATAAGAGCATAATGTGCCAGTACTTTGCGACTCAGTAGTATTTCCAAGGAAAAAGATCTTTGTGCTTAACAACAAAGTAACCAAAACACAACTTTTTGTGTTTCTAGGAGAGTACAGGCACCCAGTAACTCTTTGAGGGAAGAAATCATAATGAGTTGACAGATTGTGTCGTCATACAAACTGTCCACTGCTATTGTTGGGTCAACTGGGGTCGAGGCCATCATGACAAATAATACCACTGTGGAGTGTAGTTACTCAGCTGCATTCAACAAGGTAGGATATGGACCAAGTTGACTAGATCTGCATACTTCAAGAACAGACAGATGTGTTCATATGACTGTATGAACAAAAGATATTTTTCAACATGTATGTTTCGGACAAAAAAGTATATGCCTCAAATGTCACTTTATAGGCATGAAAGATTGGAACCTCAATGCATTCAGTTATCACACACATGATGATCTGGGTACAAATCAGTGAAACATCATCAACTTCTGACTGTTACTATGTCCTAATGCCTTGTCAAACACCCTGAATATGTGAAGCTCTTTGACCAAAAGAATGATGAAATACTACATATATATTGAAGCAACACAGTATTGACATCCTGAAACAATTACTGCCATCACTTGATGTAAATTGTAAAACATTAACATCACAAATGTTCTTGATACCTGCTGCCCCCTGGTGTGTGTGTGTGTGCATGCGTGCGTGCTTTATTCCTACTGGTTAAAGTGTTGATTAGTGTTTGTAGCAGGTGATTAGATAGCTACCTGTTTATTGTCATCAAAGTACATGACACTAGCTGCATTAGAGGGGATTGGACAAGCAGGGGCCGCCACCACAGCCTCGGCTGGGGCAACAACCAGCGGATCTGTCAATCAAAGGTTGCCATGGCAACATAATGCAAATTGTGCAGGTGAAGCAGACACATGCAGAATGGCAAGAAGCACACAGGTTTGTGTAGTCAGCATGAAACAGAACAAAAATGATAAAATAACAAAATGGTGTTATGGTCTACGCATGCATCCTGATCACACCTGTCTCCAGAACATCAGTGTCTCTGTCCAAGAAGGGATTATAAACACTTGTAAGTTGTTCACAAGGGAGACTGCCATGGCTCAGACAGGTGTAATGAAGATGAAGACAGTGATTACAACTCAGTCAGGTCAACATGCCACATCAGTCTTGGACTAAGACTCTCACCAATATTCTAAATCTGTAGTAAGGAGGAATGGGTTTTTTAGAAGATCAAACTACAAATAATGTTTATTTATTAGCAATTACCGACAGCTTCAGTGATTAACAAACATGCACATACACCCAAAAATAATGTGACTTATGTCACATTTGTAGAAAATGTAGCCTAACAATGTTCGAAATGGTCACATGTATTGTCTATTTAGCATTTAAATGCAACACATGAACCGTCAGTTTAGAATAAGTTCTGTGGATGTGAGTGAGTGAGTGAGTGAGTTGGGTTTAACACCACTTGGAACGGTATTCCTGTCAGCCTGAGGAAAGCCTGAAGTGATTCCTGCCTTTGATATTTACCATTCATGAATGGTGCTGACAAACCTAGTGATAATCCTGCTGCAAACTGGGGGTTTGACCTCATAATGTTGGGGTTTTGGTGTGCATAACAGACGCAACTCCCCGTAGCCCCCCTCCCGTTGATATGACAACAAAACAGGTGGCAGAGTACTCCCTTGAAATAATAGTTCTAACCTCAGTCGGGGCAGTGGGGTAGCCTAGTGGATAAAGCGTTCGTTCGTCACGCCGAAGACCCGGTTTGATTCCCCACATGGGTACAATATGTGAAGCCTATTTCTGATGTCCTCCGCCGTGATATAGCTGGAATATTGCTAAAAGCGGCGTAAAACTAAACTCACTCACTCTAACCTCAGTCCATAGTAATAAATAAACAGTGTCAAATCAGACCACACGAAAAAGTAGTTCTCTTTTAAGAATACAGAAACGCAAGCATAATGAACTTAAAACCCTCTTGGCACTTTAAAATGCTACCACTGTCATAAAAAAAGCTGTCTGAAAGCCAATTAGGCGTAGAGTATCTATAACCCATTGAGTTGATCATGACCCAGAATCTCCTATACAGGAGACTTGAGTTCTCACTACTTGGCAGTAATGGACATTTGGGAAGAAATACTTCCATAAAATGTGTTCATAATTATGTGCACATGATGAGATTTCAGCCTGTGACTTTCCTTAAGTATGTTGTATGTCAGTTCTGGATGTCAGGTACACAACTCACTGGCAGCTGCCTCCAAGACTGATGTGGGCTCTTTTAGTCAATAAAATAAGCTACATTACATAAATACCAGTGAGCAAAATACAGGTAAAGTGGTTAAATAAAAATTATTCCATATCCCAAAAGCACTATAGTTCAACTATATTAGAAACAAATAATTGTTAGTGATAATTTGGTTTCTGTACACTGTCTCCACCGTCTGGTGCTTGCATGTTGAGAAAGGGGCCATCACTCAAGTAGCATTGAAATATGTATGTCCACCTTTCAGCCACAATATTCATAATTTTGAAAACTTTTATAACCATCGTCCAATGTATTGTGATCAAGTGTGTACTACATAGTGGACTATATGACATGAGTGAGACTTCCACTGTTTAGTTAGTTACATGGTAAATACCCAGTGAAGCAGGCTGGTGAAGCCTACAAACAGATCTGTGCAGGAGGGTAAGCACACGGTCTGAGGAGTCTTCTCATGCAAATCCTAACATGCAAGCATTCAGAAGTGTCAACAAAACCAGCAAGAATGAAACAAAATAGAATTTTTAGTGACTGATGCACATTGAAAAGGTCATGCTCCTGTAGCCACTACAACCAGGGTTATGGTGGTGGTTCCATTCAGAGAGGATATTGCTTCAGAATGAAAGGGGAGTGTGACAACATTGAATGCACCAACCCCTCTGCTCATATCATATATACACAGTAGTTCACCACTCAGAGCTTTTGCAGTTTCAATTGATTTAATACTGCAATATTCTGAACCATCGCTTGCATGTCTGGTACAGATCTGGGCCACATGTGCAGAGAAGCTGGCAGACTGATGCTGCCATGACTACTGTGTCTTGTCAAGCAGAGGCGGTGCATGCATTGGTAGCTATACCACACAGATATAAACAAAATACACCATACATTCCTACAGTACTAGCATGTAATTTGTGAGTTAGCCAAGATGGCGGTGGTGGCCAAGTGGTGAGAAAAAGTGGACTTACACTTGACTGGTATATATGGTTGTTGTCCTAGCTGCATAAGGGCGGCATGTTGATATGCTCCTATAGCACTAGGCTGGTACGTCATGGGAAATCCACTCTTAGCATCCGTCATCGCCATCCGTTTGTAAGGGGGCACAACTCCAGGGATGGCACCCTATGGGTGGCAGAGAGGACAAAAATGATTGGCCCAAAGCAAAGCAGGTGTGGGGAAATTATCATACACAAACATAAACAACAGACAGACAGCACATTATTTCTCTTGGAATGATTTGAAAGAATAGAAGAAGAAAGATCAAGTAACTCAACCGACAGATCAGACATAGTGTTAAAATTAGCATCTTCAATTGCTTTACAGAAAAAACTCTTGAGCATTTCTAAGATTAATATTAAAGAGCTTGAAGCATCTACAAGACCAGTAGACTGGGCTAAGTATCATCATTGAAGAACAGTCTAGACTAGGGGACTACTTGGGGGAAAACTAAGACAGCTGTATAAATCACATTCGCTTCAATACCAATACTCTACTTATAGACAGATAGAGAAATATCTTTACATTGATTGGCTATCAAATTGATGTTGCAGAATCACATGACCACGGATAGATTACAACCCCTGTCCCAATTTGATAGACAAGAGTTTCAAACTGGGTGTCCTCCAGTCAGAAGCTGCCATGCAGTAGCCTGCGTGTACTGTGATGCTTGTGAGAATACTGCCAGACAATTTGGATCACGAATGAAAGGAAAATGAAATTAATTCTACAGAAAGCAAGATATGTCACTTTGTGTGTCATGTGACTGTGCAAACAATCTCTTAAAGCTTTCTACAGCTACATGCAAAGCATGATGGGAAATAGTACCAGAACAAGATCGTCTGTAGGGTCACGAGGTCGCTTCTTGCCCGCGGTCAAGACCTCAACCACTTGCGGCTAATTAGTATGCAGAGCACATGATGGCAATTGGCCAATGAAATGGCGGCATGGCAGGGATGGCGGCACATGACAACAGCAAGCAGCAAGGCATGTTGGGTGATGAAAATAAAAAAGGCACCGTCGGTCAAGATTGATACCATGCATATAAATACTCAATGTTATCTTTACAAAAAGCTTTAGAGAGAGACATACATCATGCCTTTAATCCAGTAAAGGAAAAATCCTTCCCCATAATTTGAAATTAAAATATAGGTAAGTGTTTGGATAGATGCCAAGTGCTTGAGTTGTTATTATCAACAACGTGAGTAGAACCCTTAGAAGAAGACAGAGTGCCAAAATTAATAATTCATGCATATAACAAAAATTAGAAATAAAACACTTTCAGTAAAGAGTCAACCCAAAGCAAAGAGTAAGGTTTGTCTATGTGATGCTCATCAGAACATACAGAAAGCTCTCATTTATTTTGTGGATGTGTAAGTTCAATTTGCTAAACCCTGCTGCATTTCTAGTCAAATAAGAAAAATCTGCAACAGAAGAGAATTAAACCATCAAAGCTGAAAAACAAAACGATAATGTATTTTTACAAGAGCTATCATATTAAACTATGTATTCTTGTTGCAATGGCAACCATTGTTGATCATGTCATGATTTTCAGTGCAGCAGACAAAGTGCTGTAACTATGGGGGGGTTACAACAGTTTGTCTGTTCAACTTGGAAACATACCTTTACTCCCAAAATTTAAGGTTGATCATCCATGTGGAAGGAGAATTTTTTTCCATCTGATTAGTTCAAATCTATTGAAGAATTTTGATTGAGCTTGTCCTTGGGTTTTCAAAAAAATATAGGACAAAGCTTGAAGCTGATTGCAGTGTTCAGATAGCAAGTCGCATGTGTCATGTATGTGCGTGGATTGGTATATATTAGCACGTACGTACAACCAAGCGATACACCAAACGTTCACATGCAGTTTGGGTCACTGACTTGATTTGCTGAAATTGACTAATATAACCCCCTTTTGAAACTCTTAACGCTGTAACAGTCGAACATTTCGCTTGGAATTGTCTAGAGAAATTAGCCATCCATTATATATGTACACGTGTTTCGTGTAAATGTTAGGAAGATGGTTTGTGGCAGACTACGGTGTTGCTGTGAGGGCATCGTCTGGGGCTCCCAGCGCAGGTATTTACAGCTTTACATTGGAAATTGCGGATAGACGGACAAACTGATGGATGTGGTCTGTATACGGATTGGAGTGGCAGATTTGTGGATTGAAGTAGCAGGAGACAGAGCAAGATCTACAGTGCTTGGCAATACCAGCAGACATGGGCAGCAGGTAGCTAACGACATCAATGTTGGCTGGTCCACTTTGCATGATACCCGAGCTAACCAACAAGCCCCTAGCAGGATGGTGGCCATCTCAGACAGTGGTGGCATTTCATAGAGGTGAGTGACTAAAGGCAGAGAGTGGTTGCAACTACAACAGGCGGGCGGGCGGGCATGTGGGCTGGCGGTCAAGCTTGCACAATGCAGTGTTAAGAGTCTAAAGAGGTAGAGAGAGAGGGTGTGTTGGCTGACTCCCGGCCCACATCAAATAGAGCGTGGAGGTAGTGTAGTAGTGCCACGCTCAAACTAAACAAAAAACTATCAGCGTTTTTCAGCAAGGGGACGATGGATGGACTGACGGATGTCATATCAGGGAATGCAGCTTTCAAGTGGAGTGACCCAGCATTAGAATCTTAGGTATCTTGATGCAACCATTACAAAAAACATCTCATACATCAGTAACTCTGAAAGCTTTCTTCTGAGTGATGATGGGTATGAATGAAAGTCCACAAGATAAATGACACCCACCCTTCCCTTTCACATCGTTTGTAATAAATTGCATCAGATTCCCATGTTTCAGGTCTAGCAATAAATAATAAGGTAAAGTAAGACTCAACAAGCATAGTATGCAAGGTACTGATAGAGTGTAACTACAGACACAAGACAGCAGAGGACGGACAGATGGACGGACAGAGGGAGGAATAAGCTGACAGACAGGTAACAGACTGACAGACAGACAGACTGTATAAGTGTGAAGTAAGCAGACGGTAGCCCTACCAGCTGAGTCTGGGTCGGGGCGTTCTGCGCAGCGACAGCGTTTGCCCGTTGTTGAGCGGCCTTAATCTGGGCCTGAAGGTGGGCCGGAGGGTGAAAATATCTACACGAATCCCGCGTACACTTCCCCTTTATGAAATCCATACACACCGTTACATGGTTGTCGGATTGGTCGACTGTTACATTGTCAGGAGGGTGAGCAAAGCGACATTCGCTAGGTTGTCGCGTGCATGTACCTCTTTGAAATTCACGACATACCTGAAATGAATGTAGAAAAGCAGAAAAAGGCATATGTTAGTACTTGCAGACGGAGCTTGGGGTGCCCCTTGAGCAACTAAAATAGCTAGCTTTGACATATGTCAGAGAGAGAAAGCAAACCAATTTACAGGAGAGAGGTGAACTAGTTTAGAATGTGCTAAAGTCTAGAAATAGTGGCTAGGGAAGCACTACATAGTTACTGTTGTTGTGATAACACACATGGAACTAGCAGCAGTGACCATGTTAAATCCAGCTTGTGGAAAATAGGGTTACCTGCCCCTGATAAAAGCTTGTTGTAGCAATGTAAATTTAGTGCAGATGTGTGCAGTGACTTGTGAATAGAACTGTACACAAGCTGTCCAAAGCTTTAATTCAGATAGCATATTTAAGTAGCCAAAGTAAAATACCCCAAACCCTTTTCAATAAATATTTTGTCAGTCTTTTAAATGACATTAATGATGTCTCTCTTTCAAGATAGTCTACCTACCATTAGGTTATTACAATAAGTTATCATTACTCGAAGCTATTTAATCTTTTCTTTGTATATGGAACAGTTTAAGATATAAAATGTGTATGATACTGTCTGAGTTAGAGAGCAGGTAGGAATACTCCACATAAGTTAGTGGTATTTATGGCTGGAGCAGACAGTTCTTCCAAGTAGTGGTAAACCTGCTACCTTTGTCTGAAGGTGAGCACACAGAGCTTCACCCAGCCCACTGTACTTCTGTGGAGAAACAGTGTCTGAGGCAAACACATCTGCTGCACTTCCCAGACACAGACAAGAATGTAGTCATGTCAACACTACAGGCAAGAACACTTTCATAAACTTACACAACAGAACATTTTGATTATGTTTTGTTGTAAACTTATTACTTCCCTCCCTATTATGACATTTGGGGAATGCATTAGGTAAACCAAAGTTTACTACTTCATGGTTGGGTCCAGTAGCAAGATGGTGTTGACAGAGCATATACCAGGGTCCTTGCATACCAAGCATCCAGGAGAAGGAAATGAACAAATGTACAGAGAGCTGACCTACATCTAAAAAGAAGCATTTGAGAGATGGAAGCATTTTGCAGCAGAGTGCCTTCCCTTTCCAGAACACTTGAATCTAAGGCATATAAATATAAGGACAAGCTTATACTTTCAAACATGAATGGTGCCATCCCAGCAAGTATCTACAAAGTGAGTTCCCATGTACCTAGGTACATCATCCAAGCACACGGGAGGGAGGGCAGGAGGAGCTAGGGGGGACCTACCTCAAGCCTATCGGGGCGGGCTACCTTCTGCTGGCTGCTAGCTTGTATAGGTGTGGGGATGACACCTGGGATCTGCTGTGTGACAACCGTGGCTTCACTACCAGTCCCTGGTACAGCCATTGTTCCAGGCATGGACGCATTTAGGTAGGGATTGAAGGCTGCCACAGCTGATGTTGGTGCAGAACTCATGTATGGTGGGGCCTGAAACATCAACATACACAGGTGCAAACAGTACTGCTCAGAAAAAATGGAATAAATAACAACAGTTTCTATACTTGAATAGATTTAGAGAGTCTTCAGTGTACAAACTGCTAATTCCGTGCTACTGGAAGCTTGAATGCTGCCGCATTGTTGGCCCAGTGGACATATATCAAACAATGCATCATGATCATTGTTGGCCCAGTGGACATATATCAAACAATGCATCATGATCATTGTTGGCCCAGTGGACATATATCAAACAATGCATCATGATCATTGTTGGCCCAGTGGACATATATCAAACAATGCATCATGATCATTGTTGGCCCAGTGGACATATATCAAACAATGCATCATGATCATTGTTGGCCCAGTGGACATATATCAACCAATGCATCATGATCCTCTGTCTTTCATGGACTCAAAAATAGGGTAGCAGAAATAACATGATTAACCGAAAAGGAATATATAACTGGAAAGTTTCCGACATGTCCTTTCAAAACATTTTTGCAACTTCCCATTTCCATGGTAGCTATGAAATACCATTACATATAAACATTAGCTCTCTCTATATAGTGTAACTACCGCAGCAGCAGAGCCCAGCAACATACTAGAAGCAACTCTGGAAGAGAGACAAGTTTCATCATGTGGCATGTGGGCCCTGTTCAACAATTAGCACATCATAGCTTCATTCATCTAGTCATTATTGCAACAAAAGCAATCAAATTCATTATCTAAAGAAACCAAGCATCTATCTGGTCAAAGCAAATGCTAAGCAAGCTTTAAGATTATGAAAAGCATAGGGAGAGATGGAAGATCTTGTGTGTAGCATGTAATCTTAGTACAGTTTGATTGGTAGACATCACTGGCAAAGATCTAGTAATGGGTGTGGGGAAAGTTGGAACATGTACAGATGGGCAGACACACACAAGATCTTCCCCCTTCAGTGACTGCATGCAGATGGCAGTACTATGAAGGGTGCGTGAATAATGTAAGAATATTACCACTGACCATAAGGGGGTAATGTCCGGTGGGCAGAACTGTGGAATACGCCACGGCTTTGTTCCCGGCCTCAAACATTGAAATAAAAAGAAAAATATTCATGCAGACTAATTAGTATTGGTGTGCAAAATGTTAGAGTCCAATGCAGCTGTAACTGTGGGTCAAGACACTTGCCATCTCCAGGACAATCAGCGAGACTAGCTAAACACTGACTATCTCACAGACAAACAGCATGATGAGCTTGACATTTGCAAGCTTCCATAGCCAGCAAAACAAGCCTGACACTGATTATCTCTAGTATAGCCTTCACGTCTAGCCTAACACTGATTATCTCTGGTATAACCTTCACGTCTAGCCTAACACTGATTATCTCTGGTATAACCTTCACATCTAGCCTAACACTGATTATCTCTGGTATAGCCTAACACTGACTATCTCTGGTATAACCTTCACGTCTAGCCTAACACTGATAATCTCTGGTATAGGATTCACGTCTAGCCTAACACTGATTATCTGTGGTATAGCCCAACACTGACTATCTCTGGTATAGGCTTCATGTCTAGCCTAACACTGACTATCTCTGGTATAGCCTAACACTGATTATCTCTGGTATAACCTTCACGTCTAGCCTAACACTGACTATCTCTGGTCTAGCCTAACACTGACTATCTCTGGTATAACCTTCACGTCTAGCCTAACACTGATAATCTCTGGTATAACCTTCACGTCTAGCCTAACACTGATTATCTCTGGTATAGCCTAACACTGATTATCTCTGGTCTAGCCTAACACTGACTATCTCTGGTATAGCCTAACACTGATTATCTCTGGTCTAGCCTAACACTGATTATCTGGTCTAGCCTAACACTGACTATCTATGTGATAAGTTTAGCCTAACACTGACTATCTCTGGTCTAGCCTAACACTGATTATCCCTGGTATAGCCTAACACTGACTATCTCTGGTATAGCCTAACACTGATTATCTCTGGTCTAGCCTAACACTGATTATCTCTGGTATAACCTTCACGTCTAGCCTAACACTGACTATCTCTGGTCTAGCCTAACACTGATGATCTCTGGTATAGGCTTCATGTCTAGCCTAACACTGATTATCTCTGGTATAGGCTTCCGTCTAGCCTAACACTGACTATCTCTGGTATAGGCTTCATGTCTAGCCTAACACTGACTATCTCTGGTCTAGCCTAACACTGACTATCTCTGGTATAGGCTTCACGTCTAGCCTAACACTGACTATCTCTGGTATAGGCTTCACATCTAGCCTAACACTGACTATCTCTGGTATAGGATTCACGTCTAGCCTAACACTGATTATCTCTGGTCTAGCCTAACACTGACTATCTCTGGTATAGGATTCACGTCTAGCCTAACACTGACTATCTATGGTATAGGCTTCATGTCTAGCCTAAAACTGACTACCTCTGGTATAGGCTTCACGTCTAGCCTAACACTGACTATCTATGGTATAGCCTTCACGTCTAGCCTAACACTGATTATTTCTTGTATAGATCTTCATGTCTTGCCTAACACTGACTATCTCTGTGTCTGGTACAGCCTTTTGGATAGCCTGGCACTGAACATGTTGAGGATGGGCAGTTCTATCCTAACACTGACTACCTCTTGTACAGCTTGTAAAACTAGGCTGACACTGACTATTTCTAGGATGGGCTGTTAATCCACCCTGGCACTGACTATTTCTAGGATGGGCTGTTAATCCACCCTGGCACTGCCTAATTTTTAGGATGGGCTGTTAATCCACCCTGGCACTGCCTATTTCTAGGATGGGCTGTTAATCTACACTGGCACTGACTATTTCTAGGATGGGATGTTAATCCAGCCTAGGAGACTGAATTTTTAGGATGGGCTGTTTCCACCCTGGCACTGCCTATTTCTAGGATGGGCTGTTAATCTACACTGGCATGACTACTCCAGACTGAGACTGATTTATTATGTTATAAATCAGGGATATGTAATTTCGAGTAATAAACTCAAACAATGAAAAATGGGATATTTTTTCATACACCGATAGAACAGGAAAGGCCAGATCAAAATTAAGAAAAAATTCTTTCATTACCTTTGAGCATAAACCTTTTTTTCAGTATCTAAGAGTTAATATCGAATACCCAGCCTCCCTTCCCAGATGTATAGTACAGCCTATATTCACATTGCAAGAGACAAAGCAAAGTGTCAAGTCCCATCAAGTGGAAGGTGTTGGAAGGAAGGATCATTCTGTGTTTACATTTTGCATTAGTAAGGGCAAGGCCAGAAGATTGTGGGTGAAAGTCTGGAGTGAATCTTGTTATATATGCTGACATCGGACATGAAAAAAACCAAACAGTCATAACACAACAACAACAAACAAACAAACAGTGGCAACAATGAAGTGCATCATGCTATTTTCTCTACTTTCTAGTATTAATACATCATAGTTTCTAGCACCACATTGTATAAAAATATGACTTGCTGGCAAACAATTTACTGTTTTTGATATTTTGTAAGTGGTCAGTTTCAAGTATGTCTACAGTGTTATCACTATTTCAGATGATTGCTTTATGCACAACTGTGCTTGGTCTCACTCTGTAATACTATGTGGACAAAAGAAGAATTCTGTTGCTGTTTCATAAGCATTCCAAATATTCATGAGTAAATCACAAAATGCACAATTTTATAGATAACAACTTCAGGTTTATTGCATTTAGTGATGTTTCAATGTACATTCTTGCTCCAGCTTCATAACAATATTAGAATCTCCACTGAAATATCCCTAAATGCAAAAACCCAGATTACAATATACATAATGTTGACTGTTTTCTAAGTGTGAAATTATCCATTCCTTGATTTTACTCACATATCAATATCTAAATTGATGTATTCCCTAATCTTCCTTAACCTGTTATATATGTACAGGACTAGCCATGCATGATTTCTTCCATTAACCGTGTCAGTAATGTGTTTACAGTACTGCATCAGTATAATAGAAATGTGTTGTACTTGACGAGGAGAGATCAGCACGATCAGCTGTTATCACCAAGTGTTACTACAGTGTTAAATGACACACAAAGACAATAACAGAGCTATAACGCACACTCATAAATCTAAAATCGTTATGTCCAAGATAGATCTACTATGTAGTCATATAGTGACATTTGCATTAAAAGGCTTTGCAACAATGCAAGCACTCAAAAGGGCTTGTGGTGTCATTGCTGGTTGAAACATAAAAAGCCAAATACCATGCAGAAATATCAATAATAAAGCAAATTCAGTCAAAAGCTAAGGACTCTGGAAGATCTATGTATAACAGTGTCAGCATGCAAGGTTCTAAAAACAAAGAACACACCCAAACCCTTAAACTTGACAGATGTTTTGTCTGTGTAAATGTCTTAGACTTTCGGCTGGCCATGGCAACTTGTGCTGCACTTAAGCTAGAGTCTAATTTTCCAAATTCATGGATAAAAAAAATATTATTTGGAGACTTGTCATTAGAGTCAGTCCGGAACTCATAAACACAACTGATCATGTTTTTCATATACAAAATGTTAACAGAAGATTATTCAGAATTCAGTAGTTTTTCACTTGGTCTCCAAGTTGCAGAATTTGATCAAGTCTCAAGTCTCAGTCACTCCTAAGGTTCACCAGTTCAACCCATCAACCAACAGTTGTCTTGACCAAACCTACAGTCCAGTATTGCAATGATCCAGACCAACCCATCAGACCCATCCTACACTGATCCATACTATCAGTTCCATCCTACACTGATCCATACTATCAGTTCCATCCTACACTGATCCATACTATCAGTTCCATCCTTCACTGATCCATACTATCAGTTCCATCCTACACTGATCCATACTATCAGTTCCATCCTACACTGATCCATACTATCAGTTCCATCCTACACTGATCCATACTATCAGTTCCATCCTACACTGATCCATACTATCAGTTCCATCCTACACTGATCCATACTATCAGTTCCATCCTACACTGATCCATACTATCAGTTCCATCCTACACTGATCCATACTATCTCCATCAGTACTATCAGTTCCATCCTACACTGATCCATACTATCAGTTCCACACTGATCCATACTATCAGTTCCATCCTACACTGACATACTGATCCAGTTCCATCCTACACTGATCCATACTATCATCAGTTCCATCCTACACTGATCCACTGATACAGTTCCATACACTGATCCATACTATCAGTTCCATCCCTACACTGATCCATACTATCAGTTCCATCCTACACTGATTCCATACTATCAGTTCCATCCTTCACTGATCCATACTATCAGTTCCATCCTCAGTCCATACTATCATCCATCCTACACTGATCCACTCAGTTCCATCCTACACTGATCCATACTATCAGTTCCATCCTCAGTTCCATCCTACACTGATCCACTATCAGTTCCATCCTACACATACTATCAGTTCCATCACTGATCCATACTATCAGATCCCACTGATCCATACTATCAGTTCCATCACTGACACTGATCCATACTATCAGTTCCATCCTACACTGATCCATACTATCAGTTCCATCCTACACTGATCCATACTATCAGTTCCATCCTACACTGATCCATACTATCAGTTCCATCCTACACTGATCCATACTATCAGTTCCATCCTACACTGATCCATACTCAACCCATCAATCCCATCCTACACTGATCCATACTACCCCATCGGTCCCATCCTACACTGATCCATACTGACCCATCAATCCCATCCTACAGTCCAAGCTTTGAATTTAATCCTAAAGTAGTCAAGGTCAATCCTCAAGTCCCATCCTGCAGTAATCCATGTCAAGCCCAGAGTCTCAGAGTCCTGTCTAATGAAATCCAGGTCAAGCTTCTTGTCCTGTCTTGTAGTCAGTAATCCAGGTCAAGCTTCTAGTCCTGTCCTATAGTCAGTAATCCAGGTCAAGCTTCTAGTCCTGTCCTATAGTCAGTAATCCAGGTCAAGCATCTAGTCCTATCCTATAGTCAGTAATCCAGGTCAAGCTTCTAGTCCTATCCTATAGTTCAGTAATCCAGGTCAAGCTTCTAGTCCTATCCTATAGTCAGTAATCCAGGTCAAGCTTCTAGTCCTATCCTATAGTCAGTAATCCAGGTCAAGCTTCTAGTCCTATCCTATAGTCAGTAATCCAGGTCAAGCTTCTAGTCCTATCCTATAGTCAATAATCCAGGTCAAGCTTCTAGTCCTGTCCTATAGTCCAGCAATCCAGGTCAAGCCTGGAGGCCAATCCTGCAGTTATCCAGCTGAACCCCAGATTTCACTCCTACATTACTCTCTGTTCAGACAATGTCAAGTGAAAGGTACAAGCAAAGTCTGTCAAAAAGCAGATGTGACAAGTAAACAAGAGCCCCACTCACCATTGGAATCACATTGGGCACATATGGCTGGATGGCAGCTTGAGCAGCCTGGAGTTGCAGGTTTCTCAATATCAAGTTGTTCCGACCATTTTGGAGGAGCTGCTCTCTCAAATGCTGGGGTGGGTGCAGGTACTTGCAGGGAGGATCCTTCCTCTGACATTTACCCTGGAAGGAAAGCATGGGAAATTATCACTCTACAGATCAAGAACTTCACTTGTTCATTCAGTTATTCCCTGCACATATTTCAGGAGGACATCATTACCATGATGATTTTCTGCAAAACATTTGCATTAGTAGAGAGTGAAAAATGTTTTGAAATGTGTGACTTGTGCCAATCTTCTTCCCAAATCTGACAAATGTACTATCTTTATTCTGTGTGATTAGTCCAGACTTGCATATAAAACATATGCACGGGGTCCAAGACAATCATCAGCCGACAGAGTAATAAGTAACTATATTATGATATGTGCAAATGTATATGAATTTCATTTGTTCATATGATGCCAATAAAAACATTCCTTACAACAAAGCTAGCATGTCTAGTGTCTAGACTAAAAGCAAACAGTATACAGTTGCCATGTGCCAATTCTTCACAGCCATGCTGGATGCAAGGCTGCCTTTAGTAATGATGTAATCAGCTGCCACTGGCTCATGCTCAAACTCTCACAATCATAAACCTTTCCAATCTGATTGATAAAGCAGAATAACCCCCACAGAGCAATGAGACTCAAGACGTAAATTCTAAAATGCAATTCTGTCCAGTTTTCTTCTTCACCCTGAAAAGAGGTGAATGTCAAAATAACCTGGTCGGTGGTGTCCTACACATTATGACTGCCAATCTATCAATTTTACACAAGAAGTCACATTAGGTCTGATTCTTCATGAATATTTAACATGCCCCCATCCGTTCAATCAATTCCATGTTCTTTTAGCAGGGCAGCTCAAGTCTTGGGAGTGAGGGGAGAGGAGGAGAGTGATTTCATCTGTAGTGGGGTGGGGTATATGGAGGGTAGGGGGTTGGGGGTAGGGCTGAGGTGGGGGAGTGTGTGTGTACCTGCACGTTCCCCTTAATCAGTGCTCAAAATGATGCGATGCTTGCAAAAATCATGAAGCCAGATTAAAATAAAATACCCTAACAAAAGCAAGGAATTAGAAAAAAACGGTCTGACTAAATTTGGCAAATAAGATTTCCTGATTGTTCACACGATTATCATCTGGCCTGTCGCCTTCTAGTGCTGGGTACATAAGCTCAACTGCTGAAGCTCAATCTAAACAGTCGCTGGAGTCCAAATCAATTTGTCATTGCTATTTCTGCCTACAACTTGGATATCATCAACATCACTGGTTCTACTGAGGATAATTTTTGTGTGTTTATTTCATTCAGCATTAAAATCAAATAGAGTCTATTCACTGCAATTCCAGGCTGCACAATAACACAATCTCACTGAAACTGTATTAGAATTGAAATAAATCATATCTGTCAATAAGTATTATTGACCTAGGACTTTGAGGAACTCATCAACATATATGTGTGTATTCTTATGTTTTATTTACTCCTTTCTAGCCATCGAAGTGCAGGCACTGCTTTTCAGTTTATTGTCAAAATAAAACTTGGAAGATAGCCTTATCAGCTGAGATATTCCATGAAGTCATATAATATACAGTTAATAGCTGACATTCCATAACAGGAGCACTGTCAGTATTGAGAGAAAGTGTTAGAAGATCAACTGACATCATATTTATCTTATCTGCTGAACTTAATTTGTACATGATATTTCTTTCAATTGCTTATTGAACATGTGATCCTGTATTTGTAACATGGAAATGGGAAATAAAAGACTTACCGGTAAATGAATTTTTTTTTATCTTAGCTCTTCAGTTTGTAGTTTTTACTTGAACTTCCATTACCACTTCTGTGACAAGTAGCTGACTAGAATGGCTATACTGAACAGGACTCGTGTGAAGTCAGTACACATATATTTCCACCAACCATGACTTTTACTTGAGAAACTAATATAATTTATGTAAAAGTTTCATTTATAAAAATAATGTCTTTTAAGTTATAAAATTTCTTACTTCATATTCTGCCATATGTTCAGAAACTTATTGATTTTATCAGAGGCTTCAAATCACAACAGTCTGGTCTGACATCACCATGGAAACAGTGTTTTCATCTCCATTGTCTATGACATTCTACCATCTCCATTGTGCTATGACATTCTACCATCTCCATTGTCTATGACATTCTACCATCTCCATTGTGCTATGACATTCTACCATCTCCATTGTGCTATGACATTCTACCATCTCCAAGGCAAACAATGTTAGGTTCTACACATTGATATGGTGACACAACCAATATTCTTCAGTTTTAGGAAGCAAATTATTTGACATCAGAAAGCCCCAAATTTCAGACTCTCCTTTCCTCCTTTGTAGTGAAGAAAAGGGGGCCAGCGTTTATTGGTGACAATGTACTGCTACACATGCCGACATGACATTTCACAACCAAAATATCTTAACTGTTTGGAACTGCCAACCAACCATGATTGTAAAAGCAAAAGCTGAAACTTTCCAGTGAATAGCTAGGATACTTGTTGACTTAAAAATGCTGAATGGAATTTGTACTGAATGTGCAAAATAAGGTTTTAAATGTTAACCTTTTAACATGGTAACATCAACAAATTGCCTAGTTCTACATTGGAAACATAATGTCTTTCCATCCGACTATGACAAACCTAACTAGAAGCTCTTGGATTTGATGCCAGCCAAGGCTTATGGTTTAAGTTGAATATAAGAAAAGCTGATAACAACCATTGAAACAAAACGCTCATGGTCTGCTTTCATTGTAGTTGCTAGCAACAAAGATTTCACTATCATATTAACTTGGCCTTTGCAGTGGCAAACTGTATTTCAGTTTAGGGTTATGATCCTCTAGATTTGACGCCTCTAATTGTAACATTTGAAAACCTCACATCATGCATTAGTTCTAAATTCAAACTGAGCAATATGAAATCTATACATAACTATTAATTGAAAAAGGTATGCATATCAAAGTTCACTGTACCATTTTCCTATCAGCTGTCATGACACATTAAGGAAGATGGATGAAAACGGATTGTGACCTGACAGACTATTATCTGTTTCTGAACTCAGATGAGCCACAGCAAACAAACCCAGCCTCTGGCCATATCATCAGCATACAGCTACTGGACACAGTCATGTAATCTGCTTGTCAACAAATGACATGTCACTGGCAACCACTCATCAAAGTACACACACGCCATTAGGTCCGGGGACATTTAGTGGATGGAATATTAGCTACAGGTTTGTTGCTTTACAATTCATGGCAGCTGCAACCTTTCAAAGATAACACAGCAAACTTCCACATAGTGACATAACTGTGTAAGTGGAGGGCCGAACTACCTGAACAGGAGTCAACACCAACACCAATATTAGAAGCTGTCTCAAACACAGAAGGATGTAACCTGGGCATATCACATACTTACTGCATATCAAAGTTCATAATGATAATGATTAGTAATGAGTATTGGGAAAAAAATGTAATTTGCATATGCTAAGTTCATATGGCATGAGCCATGTTTAGTAATGAATTCATTTTGAGTCACCATAGAGTTTAAAAATGTAAGTTTAGAGAACCATAGAGTCTAGAGCACCTGCTAGATTACCATTTTAGAGTCACACCATATGTTTAGCTATAGAGAGCCATGTTTAAGAGCTTAGAGTCTAGAGTTTAGAGACACCATAGAGTTTAGAGTCACCATAGAGTTTAGAGACACCATAGAGTTTAGAGACACCATAGAGTTTAGAGTCACCATAGAGTTTAGAGTCACCATAGAGTTTAGAGTCACCATAGAGTTTAGAGTCACCATAGAGAGTTAGAGTCACCATAGAGTTTAGAGACACCATAGAGTTTAGAGTCACCATAGAGTTTAGAGTCACCATAGAGTTTAGAGTCACCATAGAGTTTAGAGTCACCATAGTGTTTAGAGTCACCATAGAGTTTAGAGTCACCATAGAGTTTAGAGACCATAGAGTTAGAGTAGAGTAGAGTCACCATAGAGTTTAGATAGAGTTTAGAGTCACCATAGAGTTTAGAGTTACCATAGAGTTTAGAGTCACCATAGAGTTTAGAGTTAGAGTCACCAGAGTTAGAGTCACCATAGAGTTAGAGTCACCATAGAGTTAGAGTCACCATAGAGTTTAGAGTCACCATAGAGTTTAGAGTCACCATAGAGTTTAGAGTCACCATAGAGTTTAGAGTCACCATAGAGTTTAGAGTCACCATAGAGTTTAGAGTCACCATAGAGTAGAGTCACCACCATAGAGTTTAGAGAGTTACCATAGAGTTTAGAGTCACCATAGAGCTTTAGACACCATAGAGTTAGTTTAGAGACACCATAGAGTTTAGAGTCACCAGTTTAGAGCACCATAGATCACCAGAGTTTAGAGTCACATAGAGTTTAGAGACACCATAGAGTTTAGAGTCACCATAGAGTTTAGAGTCACCATAGTGTTTAGAGTCACCATAGAGTTTAGAGTCACCATAGAGTTTAGAGTCCATAGAGCTCACCATAGTGTTTAGGAGTCACCAGTGTTTAGAGTTAGAGAGTCACCATAGACCATAGAGTCAGTTTAGAGTCACCATAGAGTTTAGAGAGACACCATAGAGTTTAGAGTCACCATAGAGTTTAGAGTCACCATAGAGTTTTAGAGACACCATAGAGTTTAGAGTTTAGAGAGACACCATAGAGTAGAGTTTAGAGACACCATAGAGAGAGACACCATAGAGTTTAGAGACACCATAGAGTTAGAGTCACCATAGAGTGTTTAGAGTTTAGAGTCACCATAGAGAGAGACACCATAGTTTAGAGTCACCATAGAGTTTAGAGTCACCACCATAGAGTTTAGAGTCACCATAGAGTTTAGAGTCACCATAGAGTTTAGAGTCACCATAGAGTTTAGAGAGACACCATGAGAGTTTAGAGACACCATAGAGTTTCACCATAGAGTTTAGAGTCACCATAGAGTTTAGAGTCACCATAGAGTTTAGAGACACCATAGAGTTTAGAGACACCATAGAGTTTAGAGTCACCATAGAGTTTAGAGTCACCATAGAGTTTAGAGTCACCATAGAGTTTAGAGTC